AAGGACCTATATTATATCAGAATACGCATCGTTGTATTGACTATTCTAAGTCTGAATCATTATCGTTACAGATAACTTCCGCTTGCCCGATACCAGCCACTAATGATTGGCATTATTGTGAACCTTAATCTCGATGTGTATAACCCGGATATAAAACATGATAACATTAACCAGTCATATTGAGTTGACATGTTGTCACTTGATCTATAACTATAAATACGTTAGAGATATTTTCTCTATTTATTTTATTTATTTGAAATATATTATTCTTTTTATTCCTTCATATAAGCAGTAGCTGTAGTCGTCATTATTATCATTAGTATAATAATAAGAATAAGAATAAGAATAATAATAAGTAGGCCTATTATTATTAATATTGTTATTATTATCATAATAATAACAACGACAGTAATAATAATAATAATAATTATTATTTTTATTATTATTATTATTATTATTATTATTATTATTATTATTATTATTATTATTATTATTATTATCATTATTATTATTGGTATCGCACATTGGATCAATATTCAATCGAATTACATTATTCCTGAAGCTTGGTGACAACAAGTCTCCTCGAACTTCGGACCTTCCTGAGGATCCTTTCCGTGTTCAGAATCACAGTTTTCTAAAGTTCATCTATTCTGGTCTCTATACCGATTTGTTCCAGTCTTTTCTTTAAGTTCTTTGGAACTGTTCCAAATGTCCCAATTACAACAGGAATGACCACTATTTTAATTTTCCATAAATAATAATAATAATAATAATAATAATAATAATAATTGTTATTATTATTATTATTATTAATATTATTATTATTATTATTATTATTATTATTATTATTATTATTATTATCGGTATTAGTACACTATCATCTTTATTAAAAGTAGTATAATAGTAAAGTATTTTAATTAACTTTGCGTTATCATTCATTGTTATTACTAATGGTATCGTTATTATTCTTATCTTCTATTAATTAATAGATGGTTTACTATTATTTTATGAACATTATTAGCATTATAATACTAGTAAATATGAAATTTGCGGGCTTGAGTCATGATTATGACGTGAGAATAGTCTCTTTAATGATTCATAGAATATTGCTTGATTGATGTTGTTGGTTTTATTTCTTTGTCTCATATCGGTTGTTAGGGTAATCAGTGAAGTTCTTGTTTACATTCCTCTCCGTGTTCTTCGTATAGTTCACGATAATAATTAAAATTTAAAGATAAATAACCACATCACAATAAACTTAACACTTCAACGGAATAGCATATTATAAGCTAGGCCTATATTAATTACCTATGTGAAGTGCTTGTGCGATAACGTTTGAACTGGTAGTTATTTTCCTCTATGCTAGAATCAACTCAGCATATTTAATTTGATTTCGAATATCCTTTTCTTTTTGATTCGATGATTTTGTTTCTGTATAGTTTATAATCTATTAATATTATTTATTAATTTATTATTTCAATTAATTTCAAAACGTATATTCCTTTAGCATATCTCTATCATGTTTTGTTGAATATTTTAAGTCGTAACATTGTAGTAGGCCTACTCGACTCGACAATAATGACAGTTTGATGAAGATTCATCTATCAAGATTTATTTATTCTTAATATAATAATGATGATAATAAACATAATGATCATAAGCAAAGATGATGATAAAACTATAATAACACTAATAATAATAATATTATTATTATTAATAATACTAATACTAATAATAATAACAACAACAACAACAACAATAATATTAATATTATTAATACTACTACTACTAATAATAATAATAATAATAATAATATTAATAATAATAATAATAATAATAATAATAATAATAATAATAATAATAATAATAATAATAATAATAATAATAATAATAATAATAATAATAACAATTATAGGCATATTTATGTGATTGTATAAGTATTGCAGTTAATAGTGAAACAGTTTATTGTCGCGTGCGACGTGGAGTGGTTACAGATCGAGAACGTTGGTCGTAGGTATGTTAAAAGCCAAACAATGTAAATCTGAACGATAAATACTCGGGTAGCCTAGTCAAGACAGCCCCTTTGAAACAAAGACTGACTTTCTACTACGCTCTTGATATTATGATATTCAAAAAAAGAAATTGAGAAGTTTAAAAATGAAAATATTTAGTTAAATATTTAGCTTGTCCTGGGCTATCATCAACCACGACCCTAGTGCGAAAGTCCCATCTAGCATGGTCTGGCTGGCTACGCGTATAAGTAGACAGGTATACCGTAAAACCTCGAATAGAAGACCAATGGGCTTAATCATGATAAGAAGGAGTCTTGAATTGAAGCCCCCCCCCCTCCTCTTTTCAAGATAGTATCACGTTTGGTTTAGGAAGAAAAGGTGATTTATTGCCTGTTAATACACTCCATGATAGAGATTAATGTTACAGTGGCCCTATTTATTGTTTTATAGTAGTAATTCCCAAAATTTACAGCATTGATTTTGAAAAGCAGCTTCCTCCTTTACTTTGCAAAAGTAGCCTCGAAAAGCCCCTCGAAAGTTCGCAAAATAAGAGAAGCACGGGGCCTCATTTCGAGGTCTTACGGTATGTTTTTGAGCCAAGTAGAGTCAATAAGCTAACTCTACTTTTATAAAATCCTTTACTGCTAATTTTCATAGAAAATATTTGGAAGAAGAATAATGTTTCTTTAAACTTATCAGGGGATATGGTTAATAACTGATCCACTATATTTACTGCCTGTGAAATTTACTGCAAAGTTAATTATATTTTAGTAGTTTGCTATTATTTAACTATTTAATCTAAATTGTTATACCTACTGTATTTCATAAAATTCTGATTATATTTAAATTATCTTTGTTTTATCTTTTATTATCTTATTTTATTAATTTTAACTGATATTTATGTTGTTTAATAAACCACTTTGTATTTTCTAAAAAACTAATGTATATTGTTTTATTATTTATCTATTAATTAACTAATAAATTTAGAATTATAGTCAAAGTCTTTTGCTTTTTTCTCTATTTGTTGAGTAAATTATTTGATGGTAATTAGGTTCATATTTAGAGGACCATTCGCAAAACCGTTACCGTTTCATGTGTTCTTGTATTTATCGTTTACGGTATCTCTGCAATTTTGTATTTTGATGTGAAATCAAATCCATTCGTTTTGAGGCACAGATGGAGCACCCACAGAAATGGGCATACCATCTTATTAGCCGAATTATGATGAGGTTATCACCTTCACAACGTCTACTTGACTTTAAATACTTGGGCTAGAAGTTTATCAGAAATTGCTGCTTTTGCAAAATTTGTTAAATTTAATTATTATGAGTGATAATATTTTTGGTTTCCAGGAAGCCCTGCTATCTTAAAGTGTACACGATAGCTTAAAAATTATTCAGCTTTCGTATAAAATCCACCGATGATTTTGGGCTTTGGGATCGGATAATCCGTTCATGCAGGCCTTGTTGATGGATGTGTTAGATAAGTCATTCCGGTGACTTTGACCGCAGATAAAGTGTCTATAGCCCGTCTGGTTACGGAGAAATCAGACTGCAAGTGTTTGGGCTAGCTTCAGCCTGTTCTAAAAATATAGGCAGATCTAAAACATGGGGATTGACTTATTTTTTTTAAGGATATAATAGTAGGCTATATATTGATAACCAAAGCCTATGTCATTGATACTGTTAGATCTATCATCAGATTTAATTAGGAAATTTATCAAAATAGGTACACTACAGGAAACATCACTAGATATCTGTATGATGATTAATTTAACATACAAAATTGCTCTTATTTTCCTTCATCCTGCTTGCTGCTATAATATTACAATGTTTTGGTAATAGGCTACATAATTAACGTGTTTTCCTTGCTAAGGTAAGCAACTATTTGGTTCAACAAAACAGATAATTTTCTACCAATAACGAAGTTGTCAGGTCCAAAATAAAATGTGACGACAGTATATATTAATAATATTCATATACTATCTATCTATCATTTGACAAAAGTCTTACATCTGTAAATTCTGTTACATAGGCCCATGCGTAATTGTTATATATATATATATATATATATATATATATATATAATACAATATAATGTAATATAAATCAAGATAGCCGTTAACAATTATATATAAATCATCAAAGAAAGGTTTAAAATACAGTGATCGAATACTGTATTTACCTTGCTTTGATGACTTATATATATAGGCCTAAATTTCATTACGCAACTCTTTAATTAACATTTAATTACTGTTTTCAAAGTGTATAGGCCTAAGTGTATATTACTTGTTAAATATTTAAATGAAATCTGTACGGCTGGATTTACATTGCCGAATCACGCAAACAATATATGCAAGTGCCGACGGGAGATAACTCGAGTATATAATCCGAAAAGCTAACCAGTTGATCCAGCCCCAACTAAATATCAGCTAGATACTTTATTTGAAAGCACTCTTCACTGAACATTCTATGTACATAGTAATATGTAGAGATAGGTAATTGTAAATTGTAGAAAAATCGGATCAATGGAATTGAAAATAGAAGAACTTAGAATAATGAAACGAGTGCTTCAGGCGCAGTTTTGTAGATTAGCTCATCGGCTCGGTGTCTTTCAAAGAACTGTGTTTTTCTTTAGTTCCTTAATTTGTAACCAAGATCACGGCATTTCAATAAGGAACTAATATGGATCTTCAGACCAGTGGTAGACTATGGCCTAAGACGCCGCGATTTAATCGTGCCGCAGAAAGTCAATAGTAAAATCAGGTGTGATCAAACAGGTGCTCATGGAAGGTAAATATTTTCGAGGCCTCCAACTCTTTTCAAAGTTTAGGATGACAATTTAGACTGGGCTTTTGTTACTTGCAGAATGGACAAACAGGTGCAAACAAAACACAAACACCGACAACTCACGAGCACCATACACAAGGTACAGCATTACATATAATGACACGCACGAAACATAATAAGATCTTCACATCTGCACAAGTTTCAATTTAAGTGTTAATTTTATTGTTCGATAGCGAAAAAAATATTGATAAATAACCGTTGCTGAGTAAACGACTCAACATAAAAAAAAAACACCTTAACCCATCCACCCAACAGACGAGGCGAGAACTTGTTCACATATTATTTATCTGGTCAGTTGGTCCTGTGAGCATTATACGAATATCTACAGTATGTTCAATTATTTTTAGGCAATTTTCAAAAATTACAAAACCCTTCTAATTTACATTTATATATATATATGATTATATATATATATATATATATATATATATATATATATACAGAGTACAATGCAAACATACGTGAATCATTTTAATTTAATATACACAATGATTCCATTATTCATCAAAACTTTCAAGAATAGTTCTTCTTTGATGATCAATTTTATGCCTAACGAGATAGTAGGAAGTACATTATTTATTATCGAAAGGCGATAATAAATTGCCAACAAAAGGAACGTTATGCCTACTCACAATGGCAATTTTGGAGGAAGCACAAATTTAAAGTTCATTTCTTAGTTTTCTCAAACCCACAAACTTAAATTACTAATTGGTAGGCTTCGCTACTTTTTGTCGCAGGAGTTTCAACCATTGAGATTTAGGAGATATAACTCTACCACAAACACGATAGATGTAGGATATTATAGCACTAATCGCCTTCATTAGCAGGTGGAGTTTTGGTGGAGTAAAAACTGTTTCATTAAAACCATTATATTTCTCACAAAGTTATTGCACGCCTACGTGTGCTACCAAGTCAAACGTAGGCCTATTATAATCTGATGTGGCCTAGGCCTACTATAAGTAGATTGCTAGTATTCAAAAAGAAATCCATCGAAAGCAATTAACAATGTGTTAGTAGAACAATAAAGGTTGGCCAGTATATATGGTTCTTTTATTAAACGTTCGATATCGTTCTCTAAGCCTACATTCACGTTCGATAATCGCTAGAAAACGTCAAATTAAACTGGTAAAGAAACGATGTAGGGCTACACAAAAAACCTGCTTTCCAAATACCAACTAGACTTTTTTTTTGTAAGTCATTATAATTTAAAACTTTTTATTAGTCTCACAGTTTTACCGAACTTTGGTTTCTGAGCTTTACAAAGCAGAATGTACCATCAATGTTCACTTCTTTTTATTTGCAGACTTTAAATGATATACTGTCCAAAATAGTGTGTAATACATTAAAAATAATTGGGCCCTACTCATTACTGATAAAAACAAATAATTAGATGGCATATTAATTAAAATTTACATTTAAAAAGATGATTATTGATAATACACAGGTCTTTGGTCAATTATTCTATTAATTCTTAATTTCACAGAATTTCATGCACTCATAATTTGATTGATTGGTTGAATTTATTCGATGCTCAGCGTGCGCATGCAAGATTAAAAAATGATTTGTGAACAAAAAAGTAAACATTAATGAGGATCAGGAACAACCCATTAAGCCGGAGACCAGCCTTTTCCAATTGAGTCCAAAATTGCACATTCAATAATTATGTATAAAAACATTAAAGTCATGCTCCGGAGGAAAAAAAAATGTTGATGTGTTGTAAAATTGATTTTTAAGACACAAATTGAATATTTGACGGAAAACTTTGGAACGGTTGGTGAGATAGGGGGTAGCCATCCCTTTTTTCACCTTTTCCCCCAGTTTTTAAATATTCAAAAATCTGAATCTCATTAACCGTTCCCGAGCTTTTCGTCAAATACGTTTTTTGTGTCTTAGAAAAGTCAGTTGTACAACATATTAAACATTTTTTTTTCCGCGAGCCTTACTTTACCATTTTTAATTTATTCAAATTAGTTCAAAATTTGTTTAATAGTCATGTTTAAAACTCACAAAAGAATGAAATAGTATTTACTTCTTTAAACGTACAATAGATTTAACACAATTTACCTTATTCTAAGTTCGAATTCAACCATTGTTATTATGAAACCTATTTATTTGTCCAGGGAAAGTGAATAACTGTTCCTTGGAGAAATCAAATAGAGATAAAATTGAAGCTTAAAAATATTTGCAAAGAGATAGAATAGTAAGATCATAAGTTTTATTTAACTTATAAAACCATAAACATAAATATCGTTGATGTATTTCTCATAATCTAGAATAAACTATAGGCCTAGGTGTTGGTTTCATCTTCAGCGATCGCCAACTTTAACGTTCTGTAGGCCTACTCCCTAAGAATACGTGCACTGCGTTAACATGCACCGGCATGATACCGCGCTATCAGACTGGTGTAACCTCCTCGGCACTAAATAAGCATACAAGAGCTTTTTCGTCTTTCATGTGGCTTTGCGACACAACATTGGCCTATTCATGCCAGTCTTGTAGCGTATTTCCACGTGAAAACTGTGTCTATATCAGTTACCTGTATAAGTTAATTACGTGTACAGTATTGATACAATACCTAGTATGCCTCATCAAACAACTTGTAGCCCCATACAAGGTTTGAACAATATATAATTTATTTCACTAAAAACAATAATGGTGTTTATATCCATTATTCAGTAAATACAGTTTCATATCATTCCCTTGAATTTCTATGTATATATCACATATATTGCAGTTCCCATCATCTAATATTTGCTACGAATATTTTTGTCACAAATATTTTGACCTGAGGTTACAACTTAAAACGCTACGTAACAGACGCAAAGTCTCACCATGACCAATGTTGGGTGTTAGCCGCCGTAGCAAACGAACATGCACTGTTAAAAGAACCGTTGAAAGAACTAGGATTGCTAAAGTTTGAAGTATTGAAGTTACTTGGGAAAGAGCTGTACGGAGTGGAATAAGTTGGATAGTGTTGGATATGCGATAGCGGTGGTGGAGGAGCAGACACCGTGTGCATTTCCTGCGCCTTTAACTGACAACTACTCATACTGCCTAAACCAGCGCTTGTGCATGGTTTTCCGTCTCGAACCAATACAGGGACGGCCACTCTGCGCGGTGACGGTAATGGGTTCATATCTAGGCCTTTTTCTTGTCGGGATCGTTTCAACTTATACCGGTGGTTTTGAAACCAGATTTTAACTTGTGTCGGAGTCAACCTGATGATACTGGCTAGATGTTCGCGTTCGGGCGCTGACAAGTATCGCTGTTGACGGAATCGCCTCTCAAGTTCGTAAGTCTGAGCTTTTGAGAAAAGTACTCGTCGTTTGCGTTTCTTTTGAGAGTCACTTGTTTGGTTTTGGTTTGAATCTACTGCTGTGCCGTTTGGAGAAACTGGAGAGGAACAGTTATCGCTGCAGTCTGATTCGGCGTCCGATGTCTCGATCTGTGTTGTCGAATTTACCGATGTCTGTCCAATTGCTAAAATGAAAAAGACATGGAGTATGGTTAGAAATTTGGAAGCGAAAAAAGTCAACACGTAAGCTGTATTTTGAAAAAAAAAATAGGCCTACATCAGATACATATTATTTAAGAGAAATAGGTAAAAATGATAAGAGCAATAGCAATATCTTTAATAATACTTTTCGCAAATATTTGGGAACGTACTGAGTATTCAGTACGACAACACGTCAGATAGGGCAAAAAAATCACTCCCCTAATAAAAATAATATTAATGGAAATAACAAAAACAAATAAAATAATAATAATTATTATAATAATAATAATTATAATAATTATAATAATAATAATAATAATCATTTTTATTATTTTCTATTATTATATAGTGATAATAATACTTATATAGGCTAATCCTATTTATTATTATTAGTATTATGAATATATTGAACATTTGTGTGATAATTATATATAATAGATAATAAATATTGATAATATTCTAATTGCGTTAGTATGGAATTAAAAATGGTAATAAAAAATAAAAAAAGTAAAAAAGATGACAATAATATATTATTATCATTCTCATAACTATATAATTACAATATAATAGTGATAACAAACAACACTAATAATTAAAAAAAAAAATAATGCCTTCTATACACAGCTCATGGGTACAGTATAGTTTAAGTAATTTAAATTTCATTAATGTTTAAATTTGAAGTGGCATTATTCAGCCACAAAAGTGAAGTTCAACAAACTACTGGACATTGTTTCAAATAATAGCTTACAATTTTAAGTAACTATCATGCGAATAGTAAGAAATAATTTAGGCGTCCTTGAATTTAAATAAGGCATTTACCGTATTACAGTGTTTGCTATGATTTCATCAAAAATAATGTTCAAGTATTCATACCATTGTAAAACCACAAGGATGTTCGTTATAATCAAGCACCCGTTACCATTCTAAAAAAAAACTCTTTTACGATCGATTTGTTTCAAGTTTCCTAAACACGTTGTCTACTTCAACTTGCTGCAATTAATTGGGATGTATGAATAACGCACAAAGCAAATATTGAGTACACTGAATTACAATTATATAAGGATGCACTCAAAATTTGAGAAACGATCATTCGAATTGGAATGTATGAATAACGTACAAAGCAGATTACACTGCATTAAAAACATAAGGATGCACTCAAAATTAGAGAAACGGTTATTAGATCACAGATTTTTTATCGAAGAAAACTTGGAATAGGCCTACGTTTAATAATATTACTGAGTATTCTGCAATATTAAAAAGCGATAACAGTCGCTTACAAAATTTATTTTTATGTAATTGTTGATTGTGGTTAGTTTGTGTATGTGTTTAGAGGTGAGTTGGTGTGTTTTGGGTGTGTGCGTGTGTTTATTTTCCTATCGTATCCACGTACACGACTTGATTATTCGATGCTGTTTTTTACGGTTTATTTATGTTTCTTTCATATCAAAGCTTTCATGTTAGCAATTTATATTCTTCTGCTGTATATATTGTGGTATTGTGGAACACAACAAATTTTTATATTTGAAATGCACTTGCCAAACACCTGTTTTAACTATTCATTTCATTTTTATCGCTATATGTTTCATTAATAATAATAATAATAATAAAGATAATAATAATAATAATAATAATAATAATAATAATAAATTAAAAGAATATTAGGTTTTGAAATAAATTCATCTAGTTTAACGAAAAAAGAAAAGTATCATAATATTAGGTTTATTTTAATTAAACCAGTTTTAAAAATAATGTATACAGTGTCATTGCCAATGGATTTATCTACTCGTTGAACAGTTATGGTTTTAAGGTGCTTCATAATCGGGTTCAATGGTGTGTTTTGTGCAATTCATTTTGTTTTCTAATTTAATTCTAATCGATTTCTTTTTTCCTGCAGATTGGTTGTCTTGTTTAAAGTCACGCAGTTCAATCCCCAAATGTCAAAACATGACATGTATAACAACCTATTTAACAACTACTGTAGGCCTATCACGAGCAAAAATATAGGACAGAAAAAAAATTAAAACAATTCATCCCATCAATTCATGTAACGTCAATTAAGTATAGGAAATTGATTTCGCGTATTCGTTTGAAGTGATTGTAGCGATTTGAATCTAAATGTACAACCGTTTGACATATGAACGCAACATTTTATGATTGCTACCAAATTATGAGATTAATATTTCATTTATAATTCACATATGTTGACATTTATCAGCTATTAGGAAGTACATTCAAGGTGCAACCGCCGAAATTTGTTAAGATAGCCGTAACTATTATGTTGATTATGAATCACATTCGATCAATCATCATTATTATTGAAGGCGATGAGTGGAACGTTCGTTGGACTGAAACTATTGATAAACTTTCTAAACCAAAAGGACAAGGGAAATGTAGATTTACCTGTCGCTTAGAAAACGCTAATACCCGTCATTCACCAAAACAACTAAATGATGAAATTCACTTACGATTCTTTCAAAAGTGTCAACGCGTTCCTGTCTATAGTTGCCTAACCCTGGATTGTCTGCTCGCCCTCGCGATCCGTGAAGTATACAAAATGTTTGCTTGTATTTCGAAGACTATTTTAATCTCCAACACTTTTGATCGGATTATTCAACGTCAGAATATAGCTTAAAGAAAACGATGCTGAAGTGAGACTTTCATTAGTTGGGGGTTCGTTCTTTGTCTAGCAGACGATTTTCAAGTGGTGAGTTCCCCCCTGAGTTAGATTTCGTGATTTCTAGACTATCCGCCTCATAACAGGATGACGTGTTTGAGGGCGTCCATGTGTTACCATGTTGACTGGCGACTTCGAAACTCTGACAGACAGCATGACACTAACAATGATCATGGCCTATTTTTTTGCACACATGTAACGTACAGTATTATTAACCTCGTACAATTTCGAAGACTTAAAAAGAAACATATTTCTGCATATTCTGCAAAGGCAAATAATCCCCGTCCTTGTTTCCAGAATTAATAAGGAACAAAACACAATGGTTTGAGTATTCACAACTAAAACCAGGAATGACACCTGTGTAAAATGTTTCCCCGTTCTCCTTCCGCCATGGAAAAACAAAATATGTAATCTACTTCGCCAATCAATCAGAAAATCTATTCTAATAATTTACTGATGTGATAAAAGGATTTTGTGTTGTATTAAATATTATCATTATAGGCCTATAAAACCTCTAATGTGGTTTCTGTGTTTGTGTTTTGAGTCAATGACTTAGCCAAATGTTTTTCATCGATCAAAGGGTTATATAAGTTGAAGATAAGACTACAAAACTTGACTTTAAAACTTGGTTTAAAATTTTAGTTATTTCAGTCGCATATGTTTGTGGTTGTGTATGCCATACTCTAATATTATATAGGGCAAGGAAAGTTTTCAAGTCTCAACAAAATGACAATAGGAAATCCTTACTTTGAATTAACATTAGTTAAAATCTAAATTAACTTCGGTGGACATAATAGAAGCAGCTGTTTGTTTTATACCGGATTTTGAAACTAAAAATTATATCAATTATACCCTTGAAAATACTATTCTTGATTCAGTTAATTTTTTAAAATACCTTGGTATTATTATTTCTTGTGACTTGCGTTGGGGTAGGCATATAGATTATGCGGTTTCACGTGCTTCTAAGACGCTTGGGTTTGTCAAAAGAACAGTTGGAGGGGTGCAAGGTAACAATGCCTACGAACAGTTGTATCTCATTCTGTGTCATCCCTTACTTAAGTATGGTATTCCCTCGTGGTTGCCCTACCGGCGTGGTCATTTAATATCTTTAGAGAGGGTACAGCACAGATTTACTAGATCCTATATTGGTGGGCATTGGAGTGCCCTTTCTCCTTATTCTAACAGACTCAGGCGTCTTAACATTTCATCTTTTTATTCTCGCATTATGTTTTTACATCTTATGTTTATTGTTAAAGGGCTTTACAAGTATCTTGATGATAATTTGTCTGATATTTCTGTTAATTGTAGACGTCAAAATTCACTCAAGTTTTTAGACCAATTTGACCGTACTAATGCCTACAAATACTTTCCATTTATTCATTTTAGTAGACTTTTTAATTCTCTTCCTGATAATATCAGATCCGAATTATTATTCTCCCCCATCAGTTTAGTTTATTAGTCAAAATATATCTTAATGAAAGCACTGAAATATTATAGCTTCTATTTCTAAGCACTATTTTCTTCAATTGAAAATTTGATTGCATTTTGAGATGACTGTTGGTTTTATTCATTTATTGTATAGTTTTTATTATGCTTGATTTTGTTCTGTTTGTGTGCATTCTGTTTTGAGAGTCACTTGATAGTTTTCATCTTAAACTTTTTGGCAATCCTTGGATGGCAGGTTTTCACCTCTCTTTGTATTTATGTTTCATCCGAAAATAAAATTTGATTTGATTGAAAAATTAACATTTTCTTGTTATCCTCACAAAACATTATTTCGGATAGTGACATTTTTCAATACTGTAACTACTTAAGTGAAATCAATTAATTAATATCATAGACATTATTAGTTATGTTACAATCATATTGCTATTAATTAGTTTAAATATTTGCCATTGATAATAATAATAATAATAATAATAATAATAATAATAATAATAATAATAATAATAATAATAATAATAATAATAATAATCTGGCATTTCAGAGTACATAGCTGCCTATAAATGATATATTTTATGTTACTGTGTAGTAGTATAGAACAGCGTTGAAAGTTAGACCTGTACTAATGCATCATGAGGACAAGTACCGTATATTTCAGGCAATGTATGCTATGAGTACTAGGCTTCCACGTGGTTTATCCATCAAATAATCGAGCCTACTTGACATCAACAAGTTGTTAACGAGTGGACGCAGGTACTAGAATCAACTAGTCCAGTGGAGATGAGTGCCTGAATTGGTGCTCAACACAACCACTACAACTGCGCCTTAGTGTTTGACTTGTTAAAAACTTAAGAGCTGCTGCTTGACTCGGTTAAGTAACTAGCGTAACTTGATAAACGGTCAAGTACCAGTGTAGAGTAAGTGCTGAAGGGAATTGTACAGTAAAGTGACTTCGACTCTAAATCACCACAATGCTGAACGGCGGTTTGTTTACACTTGAACGGAGATTCAATATCAGATTTTCGTGTATAATTGTATTAAGTAATGCTTGAGGTGATTGTTATCTCGATAACTTAATGTAGTCTGTGAGATTTAAATGCTTGACTTTTGCCTTAATTGATGTATTCATGTGGACAGCAGAGTAGGGAGATGCTATACCTGTTGCATTGCATCTCTATTAGTAGATAAAAAATTAACAATTACAACACTCTTTTCTTGATAGGATTAAATTACATAATTAATATATATATATAATAATTGCGATAGTTTACTTCAGTTATATATATATATATATATATATATATATATGCCTATACAGCTATTTTATCATTTATATATCAAATATATGTGTAGTGATATGTAATGTTTTATACAAATCGTCGTAGGCCTATTTTATTTAAATGCATACATACACCCATACATACATACATACCTGTCTCTTATACACATCTAGATGTGTATAAGAGACCACCCACACACATAATATGTAGGCTATTATTATATATTTATAAATATTAGAAATAAACTATATAATATAACCGTATAATATTATCTTCATAACGTGATTGCCAATTACTTGTATCTGATACTATTTATGAAAATAAAAACATAAGGGGTAGTTTTGTAAATATTATCGTTTATAGAATTGATAGGCCTATTAATATCTATGACAATCCTAAAGAAAAGGGAAGGAGCTCTCAACATTTTAATGGTTTAACAAATCATTTATTTTATATGTCATATATATATATATATATATATATATAAAAAAAAAATATCTCAATTTTTTTCATCAAATATTTATTGATATTTGCCATTAATAATAATAATAGTAATAATAATAATAACGATAATAATAAAAACACATAATAATAATCATAATAGATATCAAAAAGAATTAAAAACATGAAAATATTTAAAAGTATAAAATGTGCACACAATGTTTTTATTATCCAAGCAAGGCTAACTGTTTACAGAGTTTTGTTTTAGCTGACCGCATATAACGGATAGTGTGCGAGCCATCTATACTATAGGCCATGCTCTACGCCTATTCATAATGAAAATCTCTATTCAAAGCTTATATAACGGTGTAAGAAAGCCCAATAGCAGTTTTCTGTACTATTGCTGATTCAGCTGTAATAGTTTACATATAATAATTTAATAGCCATATAATTGTCTAATAGTAATAAAGGTACAATTGTAATATTTAATATCAGTCATATGTACAGAAATATGTTATATATATGTGCTATAAATATATATATATATATATATATATATATATATGTAAATCAAAAGACGAATAAACAACATGGACATAGAAACATAATTTATTTGTAATATATTAATACATTTTTTATTATTATTTAAATACATGTTGCAATTGTATCATTATTACTATTAGACATTTAGGTCTATAGGGCTATTAAATAATTATAATATTTCAACATTTACAGCTCAGTCAGCAATAATACAGCAGATTGTTATTTGGGCTTCCTTATATATGAAATATTTTTATATATGAAATGTTTTTATGTGTGAGTTTACTTCTTTATACACTAAAATTTATTCCAACGAAAAAGATTTGAACGGTTCACAATACGTATATAGGGCCTATAAACTAAATTTTCAATCATATAGGCTTATATATATACTTTTATATACATGTGTATATAATAATATATAATGAAACGTTTGTTTATATATAAACAAACAATTCTTAGCTTTATATATATTTGTATATACATATATATATATATATACATTTAATTAAACATTTAAGTTGATAACAGTAATATGAAATGTCGTACTAAAACATAACTTACTAGAATATTGAATAGGTTCAGAGCCGTGTGTTTGCAGCCACCTTGTGTACGGGTTATCTGTATTGTCGTAGTAGGTATTCATTTCCCTGTTCTGACCACCACCAACCGTCGTCTCTCTGTGTTGGCCCCTGTTCGCCGTAAGTCCGTTAGGTATCGATGGTGCTTCGTTAGGTAGGCCTAGGCCAAGAGCCTGGCCGTGATCTTTGCCCACGTCTGGAGTTATCGGAAGCTCAAGTATGTCTTTCACTGAGAAGTTTGTTTTTCCGTTCATATTAATGTCCGTAGGTTCCATTAGGGCTTGCTCGGATTTTCTTTTAATCTGGAAATAAGCAGAAACATGAAAAGATCTTATTTCGCAGAGATCATCAATCCGATATTCGATCGTAATAATCCAAACGAATGATGTTAAATCGACAGCGGATTCAGTATTACTATGCGGTCAGTTGGACATTTTGAATTTAAATTAGACTCGAGAAGTGTAACTTGTTGAGTAGAGTATTTGAAAAAAGAGACAAGAGCCGGTGATTATACACTGAGCTTGGATAACAATATCAGGGTCGTCGGTCAGCAGCGATACTCTTATTAGACAGCGAGTTCTTGTGAGGGCGCAGTTGGGCGGTCCTTCGGTGACAAAGTCTTCAAACATGACGCGTGAAATCAATATGTCAATAAAAAAAAAAAATGCTTCCGCTAATCCACTGGAGTGCTGCTCTATAGATGAAAGTTAACCCTACACATAGTTATTTCGTAATGATTATTTTTATGAAGTACACAGAGGTATTTTAAAAGATATAAGCCTACTTGACAAGTCTAGGACACTCGATCCAAATCTATAGTATAGATCATGATACGATGGTAGGCCTATATTACGTTAACGTAATATGACCCCGGGCTATTAGTTTTGACAGTATTTTAACCCTTACTATGTTGATAGAAATGGTGAACAAAACTTGAGGGGAAACAGCAAATGGGAAGCTACTTCATGGTGAGGTGAATGAGTGATCGGATGATAAAATGATGGATAGTATCAATTGGGATTAGGGAAGGAATTAACTTAAGTACATTGGACAATTCAATCTTAAGCGGGACTACGCTCCATTAGGGAATACCAATGGTTAGGGGGTAGGGTCTTTTGGAGTACTTTCAAAGGGTGCTGATCCGACTGTGAAAGGGCATCGATCTTAGCGCCTTCATGTGCGATCTACATCATCCGCAGTGTTACCTGGTTAAGCGCATCAATGTAATGTTAGAGTCTAAACCGCCAGTTTTCTCGGGTTAATTCTATAGGAAGGTGTCGACAATTGTGTAGCTAATAATGAGAGTTAATGCCTAGTGGATTCACCGCCAAAGAGCTAAAATCGGTTTCCACCTGCATCAGAACACGTGTGCTAAATGAAGTCAAGTTAACTGATCCTCAATCCCACGATTGTTTTATTCACCATCGTTAATTTAGTGGTAAGAGATTAAACAATCGACTTTAAAGCTATAGTGGCTCACAGTGCGCTAGCATCTAATTAAGTAAAACAATAGCTTAATATACTGGAGAATTAAGATTTAAGTTAAATGAGTAATAAAGATATTGAAACTGTCACTGATAGGCCTATGTAATGGCCTACTTTGACTGCCCCATCTCCTTTTCAGCTATAGAGGTTCTATGAATAGTATTGTTTTACATACATACATACATACACACATACACCCATACATACATACATACACCCATACATACATACATACATATACATACATCACTGGGACACAAATAATGCATAAATGAACGTTTTGTCGTCATGAAAAATGAACATCATTTTCAGTCTCGACCGCGGAACCCGTGAGCTAAAAATTTAATTCGATTTAAACGATAAATGTCTTTAATCTTATTATTGTTCATATATACACTGTCATTATTAAAAAGAGAGAAAGAAAGAGATAAAGTAATCGATTTAGAAACCTCTAACACAGAATAGTTAATATGGGAATTGATCAATGCGTATTGTTCGTTTGTACTTCAATGATTTTGAAAATGTCGTTATTATACAACAGTATGTATATTTCACCATCTAGATGTGTATAAGAGACAGTATATATATATTGGATATATATATATACATATATTAATTTAAATGGATGTAAATAAAAAGTAATGTGTTAAAACACATGTTTACATTACAAATAAAAAGCATGACAAAAGAACAAACAAACGACAGAATAGGACCTACAAAAAAAATATGTTTACGCTTACAATTTTTAAACCAGGATCGTTGATATAGGCTAGCCACCTACCGGTATTAATTATTGTTCATCATTTAACAAAAATGGCCACGCGAGGCACAAAACACGCCAAATTCATATTCATTCTATACCTGTAAACATTTTTAATAGGCTAATACATGTTTTTTTAATAGGCTAATACTAATAGGCCTATTGATTTTACTATAGTACAATTGTAGTCAACATTAATAATTGTTATCAATAATAATTTTTATCAAAATATAATATTACGCCAAATTCATGTTCATGCCATACCACCTGTAAACTTTTTTTGAATAGGCTACCTTTTTATTAATAGGCTAATACTAATCTTGACTTCACTTTACTACAATTTTAGTCGACATTAATAATTCTTATCAGTAAAATAACTGGTAGTTTAAAGAGAGAATTTAGGTAACATACGGCTCCATAAGCTGCTCAATTCACACTGAAGTTGTATTTATCTTTACCATCAATATAAGCTCTAGATTTAGACTATGGGGCTAGACAAACAGAATACTAACTATCAGGTTAACAGACTTTTAGCGGACTTGCCAAATCACAATTCTGTACTTGACCATAGAACTCTTGATTACACACTTATGGTAAATGTTTTGTAGGTGCTCAAGAGTGTGAACACATTGCTATAATTACTAAATATAGTATTGTCGTTAATATTTTAGTATTGTCGTGTGAACGCATGTTCCCGCAACTTTGACCCCTTAAAGTTAACGCGTATTTAGGCTTAATTGATTAATTTATTAATTGCCGCTTCTGAGGGCCCACGCTTTGGTCCAAAACGCCCACTTAAGTATTAACATAATTTGAGAAGAGGGATAACCATTCACCCCCGCAGTTTTTTTTTATAAACGAATTTAAAAGGCCAATCGGTTTGAAAAGCTTGTTTCATTCACAAAAAATAAAAATAAAAATAAAAATATTGTAGGCTCTAGGTCAATGCATTATGATAGGTTCTGCGTACGCTCGTATACGACGTAGGCCTACACCGTATGATTCCACACGAGGAAGATAAACCCAGTTATACGGCTACACAACCGTGGCGTATATTTAAGGCCTGTATTTGTTTTAATTTACAATTGCAGCCAATGTCTCAACATTTTTTGTCACAACACGAGCAGTCCTATTAATTTTATAACAAACCATTTTGAAGGCATTTTGTCATTGGAATAATTATTTAGCCCCTAATATTGAATATTGCTACATTATATAGGCCTAAATAAGCTATACTCGAAATAGCTCAGACGGATTAGCGTAAGTAGAGCATAGGAAACGGTTTTTTAGGATAGGAGACGATCACTTCCTGAATTAAGATTTAACTGACCGGGAGAAATAAGTCGCATCGACCGCACAGTGTAATCCAGGTTATCATATGTGGACACTTTAACCTGACATTAGGCGTATGTTTCGTTTTGAGGGTCAGAACAATACAAACAAATTAACAGAACGAATCTAAATAACAACATTGTAGAAAAATATGTATCATGAGTAATTGGATTTTATCTGTGGCTTGATAGAGCTTAGTGTATGGATAACGGTGTTGAAAGACGTGGGTTAGTGAACGGTCAAGACAGAAATAGTTGGTCTGCATCTTGCGTTATGGATTTAGGCCTATATGCTTATTCGATATTAGGCCTAAATTATGCTGATGTCCAGCACACGTGATAAATACGTATGTGCTTACGCCAATTGTTGCGAATGCACATGCGTAAGCAGAGTCCTGCACCAGACCTAATATAAGTCACTTTTAGAATGTATTCGGCAAGCATGCGTCTCTTTATTAAAGTCAGGCTCCGGAGGAAAAACATTTTTTGATATGTTGTAGAACTGATTATTCTAAGACAAAAAAAAAGTTGTTTGACGAAAAACTGGGGAACGGTGAATGAGATACAGATTTTAGAATATTTAAAAACTGGGGGAATAATGTGTAAAAATGGGCAATTACGCCCCTTTTTCCCCCAGTTTTTAAATATTCAAAAATCTGTATCTCATTCACCGTTCCCCAGTTTTTCGTCAAACAACTTTTTTCTGTCTTAGAAAAATCATTTCTACAACATATCAATTTTTTTTTTCCTCCGGAGCCTGACTTTAAAGACTAAATTTTAAATTTTAAGGACTTATGAAAATTTGCACCAACAAATACGGAAAATAATATTAGTTGGATAGGCAAGTTGTTTAATACTTAACCCGTGTGTCAATCATTGTATGAAAAAAAGAGATAACGTAATAATGGGGGATGGGTAATGGGGTGCAAGTACCAGTTCTTTTTCAACCTCTCTTACATTCGCCGATACAATAGACGATTACTCAGCACATGCATTATACCAATATTGCTTTTTATTTAGGCCTATATGATAGTTTGCACGTAGATATCAATCACACTCCATTACTGCAGTGTGTTTAGCTAGCGGTTTCGGTATTTGTTTGCACCATTTTGTTAGGCTTGACCGCGGGATTTTTGCATTATCACACATTAAGTGAATAAGAAGTTTTTGGTTTCTCGCTTACACTTTGGTAGGACGGAGCTTTCTGGAGGGCGGCATTTTCTACTCTTTCCGATTTAATGATTTTAAAAGCGCGAGAAATGCGGCCCTAATAAGAATCATTTTTGCTTTAATATTACGGTACCACTGAATGTCGATTTATCTACCGTAATGTTGATATTTATAGATCTTTCCTTGTTTGGGTTGCCCTAGTTTTTCAACGAAGGTAGTACGGTATAATCCGACAGGCTTACGTAGCGAGGCAAATACTCGATTAGTAAAAAAGATAGGCCTATGGCGTCTTTGACAAAATAGATTTGTAATCAATATGTCTTGGCCTATATCCATAAGGTGATTGAACAAGCTGCAACAAATATATAAGTGTTGTTTTATTGATATTCTTTAGTGTTGTTATATGACTATAAAACCACCTAAATTTTATTCTATTCATCAAATCTTAATATATGCTATAATTTACTATTTTATCCAATGTATAAGTATATATTTTCCAACAAATGTTTAAATGGATTGTTATAATGAAGTCAATGCCATGAACATGTCATGTTAATAAACCGCAAATCTTTCTTAATGAATATTATTATTCCTTAATTGATAAACATCAATACTTTTACGGTTTCGATTATGCCATCAACAGTCGGTTTTGTTCCTCAATGCCATTTAATTTACATATGAAGTATTTCTTTCTTCACTATTGTTTCTCTCTATTCAATTTAAAATACCAGATTGTAGAAGGCCTAATTAGTCTAGAAATGATACTAATTATGTGTTGTCCGAACCATTGTCAAATATAATTGTTTTTGAATGTTTTATCATTACCATCATTAGAGCCGCAGTGTCAATCTTTTAACACAACGGAATCATACACATTTTGTAAGACGCTTCTTTTATTAGTAATCTAACAGAATATATTTTAAGTGCAGGGCCTACGACCGAGGTGATCTGAATATACGGATTAGGGCCTATTTTCCACAACACAGGCTCACGTTCTATTTCTCATATTGGCTGTTTACACGGCATGCTTAGAGGGAAAAAATATTGGAAAACAACAATGTGTGATTTCTAAATCTCGGTTGAGATACAAAACTGATGAGAAAATTATAAACGTCAGTTAACATCCAGAAATAGAACCACAACGTTATATACATGGTCTAAACCAATTCGCCATAGATGTCATATAACTAATGATACGCCACCATCTTAAGATCCTAATATTTATCTGTATTTTATGTAATGTATCCAGAACTAGCGATGTTCCACGCATGTGCAAGAGTGCAAAAAAAGGAAAAAAAAACAGTTGGTTTGTAGAATTACTTCAAGGCGGCTTAGAGTTCAGCTATATATTGTACTAGCAAAAGAGAATGAAATATCAGTTGCTTTAATCGGATTTGAATTCCCAATAGTCCTAGTGACCCACTTGGTTAAGGGGCCTGCATAGACAACGGACGGTCCGGGTTCAAATCCTAATTACGACAACTTTTTTTTCACACTCGCAGACTTTTCTCCTCTCGAGTTATATAGTTATCGAGTTATGATTTAAAATAATTATCTAAAAGAGAATACGAGGGCAGGGCCTCTCGTTTTTCAAGCAGCAATTCTCATCGATTTAAGCCTAATGATTGGGTACAGTAGATGGGTGAATTTTTAGAACTGTAAACCAGTATGCGTTAAGCCTCCTATGGGTTAAAACTGTAAACCAGTATGCGTTAGGCCTACATGGTTTCGATAATGCAGGAAAGCGAGGCTTTATTATCGTCACCAATCAAAGGTGCCTTGATACATTATTTATTATTTTTATAATATCAAGTAAATATCCGTCGATTATGTTATTATCAATATGTGGAACAGTGGGGGATCCCGGAATTGGAGATAGTGTAAAAGGGGCCCAGAAAGACAATTTTACATATGTAGGGTTCAGACTTAGTAACTCAGCCCACAACGGATGGGGCTGAGTACGAAATTTTATGTCTATGGCACTTCAGGATGGGCGGTAATGGCACTCTCAGTGAATTTAATTATATAATTCAATTTCTATTTGAAATTAGAATTAATAAAGTATTTCTTTTTTAAAAAAAAATGAAATTAACGGACGTATAAGTAATTCGGGATTTGTATTTTTTTGCATAGACCCATGAATTGGTAGTAAAGCGTTGATGAAAGCTGTCAGTGAAACATTAATTCCTTTGATCTTTATTTCACATTGGAAGCTGACACAAACAGTGTGCTAGTTAGCCAGGCAGTCACTGTGCCTTACGTCGTCGGCTCGACGTGATTCCGCGTAGAGACGCAACGCCCCGACGCGCGCAACGGCTTGTTTTTAATATGGCGATTTGTTCAGACTGCCATTTGACAATCAGCAGACGGCTTCGCGTCATCTATAGCTCACAGAGAGCGGAGTTAGATTCATCGTACGACGCAGTTGAGTGCCCGGTTTTCGACCTATGATCACGTTCCTTCTGTGAGGATATTTATTTGATATCCTCCTCACAGTTCTGATCGATTGACAAATGTTATAATAAATAGAATAACGCAACATCAACAAATCAGTTGATGTTCTATTTTATTGCAATGACATGAAGTATCAACATCTTCCGACCACCTGCAATTAATTATGATTCATGTTATCAAAGAGGTATTATCTGTCAATCAATCAATCATTTCATCCATCTCGAGGCTTATTGCTTCCGACACATGTATTGGATGTTGTCGGATGGATTTGAAGAAATCAAAACCGAAAGCATTTTTATTTTAATAGGAAAATAAGTTTCCTTCAAAACATACATTGGTTCTAGTTTATATTTTAATACATACCGGTACCATAATAATAATTATATTGGCATAAGTATTTATTTATTTTTTGTTGTTTTGATGTTATAGTTATTGCTGTTGGTATTATTGTTATAATTATCATCATTGTCATCATTATTATTATAACTAAGGTGATCATTTCTATTATTATTATTATTATTATTATTATTATTATTATTATTATTATTATTATTATATATATATATATATATATATATTAAATATATTTAATTTTCATATTATTACCATTATGCTTTCCGTATATAATATCCATTACTCAGCCTTGTGGTATCAATGGTTATTTACCGTTGTAGCGGTTACCTACGTGGTAGTAGGTTCTACCCATGGTACCAAATACCGTGGTAGCATAATGTACCATGTAAAACAATAGGCCAACGTAAATAGTTTACATTGAAGAATGGTTTTGCATAACAACCTCTCAACTCTCAACCACAACGGTAAATCGGAATCGAGCACATGATTATTGCATTTATCGATACAGCTATGATCCGTGTAAATAGGTAAATATTAACAAATCATACAATGACCAAGTACCAAGCCCTTAAGGGTCATTGATTAGCCGACCGAAGCACCGATAACAAGGCTCTAAAGTAAATACGGATCAGCCTACGCTCTGTCGCCCTATGTAAGGCAGTTGCCTTGCAGTATATGCTCTAACCCACAGGAAAACGTGCGAATTTTAATTTAAAAAATAATAATAGGCTCTTAGGGTAAATGGTTGGCTAAACTGGGGGTAGGCTAATGAGCCATCGCCGAGCTTGTGTCCCTGGTTCGATTTCGTAGTTGCTATTTGTAGCGAACCTTCTTTTGGATGATACGGTCGTTGGCTCAACGTGCCCATGCGCACGGTAAAAGCAGTAAGCAAAATCAGAGTGAGGGGTAAAACGCTTGCGAGGAATAAGACGAAGTTTATACTCAATAGTATATTGAGTTTCAATATCTTTAATGATTAATAAACAAATTAAACTATATAATTATATTACCATTAGCATATAAGTATTAAGAATATTTATAATAAAAATTATATGTTCAGACTATATGCAATTATAAAGATATAATTTATAATAGCACTAATATAACCACAATAGCAGTCACGTATTATTTTCAAGTGGGAATTACATGTCATATCAATTTTTGATAGCAATACAAAACACAATACTAAATAGGTCTACATACAGAGATACTGATGACAACGCAGTTATTTGTCGCCGAAGTCAATGTTTAGTCGTGTCCCGGACAAAAATGTGCAGATGGCTCTAAGATTGAGAAAGAAGATAAGAAACGTTTATTCTGGGTCTACTGAAGGTCAGAAATAATATACAAAACGTGAACACCATGAAATATCATAAAAAAAATTAAAAAAAACTTATAAGTACCGTTTACACGGCTGTGCCTGCCGGTCGGTGGATCCATTCCTAAAAATGGAAGCACTGTAATACCAATATCATAAGAGCGTATACATCAAATTTATCAATATTATTATTATTATTATTATTATTATTATTATTATTATTATTATTATTATTATTATATATGCCTATGGGTGAGATTTTCTCACCAGTATTCTGCAAAATGATCAAATAGATCGAAACGTTGAATCTCAAAATAGTAGTATTAGTATTAGTATTAGTATTATTAGTATTATTACTATTATTGCTGTTGTTGTTTTCTTCATTATATATTTTCCTATTTTAAAGTATGGCATTCATTTTATGCAGTTTAAGTTGTTTTTTCGTGTATAATTATGTAGGCCTACATGGATTGGAAAATTCCGAAATAAATGTTGATTTGTAAAATTATATTATTATCACTTCAGTTATTATTAATATTTTAAAGACATTATTATACCACTTTTAATTACAATATATGAATAAAGGTGTATCGGATGTAAAACAATATAAAATATTTGGTCCATTGACTTGTTCATACACAATTTACCTAACACTATATTTCTTTAGAATATGAATGTTCACGATGAATATTTCGCTGTTGTTTCAGAGAACAAGTTTTTAAAATACCAACGATTGCCCCGAATTAGAGACCGGTAATTGCATAGTAGATATACATAACGGCAGATGCATGTAGCGTTCCTCCAATGAACTTTGAATTGGACAATCAGATAAAGTGTTGAATATCTGACAGACTTGTTGTTTTCAGTGAATGTTGTCGCGGTGGAGGTGAAGGTTATGCCATTATTTACCTGGTCCATACAAACTTCTCTTTACAATGTTTATCAGCGTTTCGTGCAATATGGCACTTTGTGACATTTGGTGGGCCTAAATCCTCGACACAGAGCACTGTAATATCTTATTGTTTATGATAGTTGCGCGCGCCAAAATTCAGTTTTGAGCGACGTAGTGAGAGCAACAGAACGTAGTTAGCTAAGCTGATGGTTACCATTGATGTGTGCACCGAGCCATTTCAACATATTTTTGTAACAATTCTCATCTCATTTATTTCCATAATAAAAAAGCAAATATACAATATTATGAAATAGTAAAAAGTGAATATAGAAAAATGAACACAGCGTAAATTACATTTTCATTGGAAGTGAAAAAGGGGACATCACAGGAAGAACTTTACGTCTTCAGTTTTATTCCATCAAGCTAATCTATGTTGAAAAACAGGCAGCACTGCACCATCTTTCAAATATGACTAATGTTTCGAGTTTTAAAAAAGGAAAAAAGGCGCACACACTCTTCCATGAGTCGGTATAGGCCTAAGCTTTTCACCGACAGAGATGGCGCTGTGCTACGGATGCCGTGAGTCCCAAAGAGTTACAACCAAAATTGGTCCGAAGTATGGAGGCCCTACTTTACTTTCTTTTTCAATGAAGTCACCCTTAACATCGCTGGAAGACACTTCTAGCTAAGGGGCTACTTTTTATTAATGGTTTTTTTGTTTTTGTTTTTGTTTTTGTTTTTTTAACTTGGCCTAAAATTAGGCATGACGTTATCTTATGTAAGATTCACACTTTAATAACAATAGGAACACTTTATTTAAACTCAAAATAAGAAAGATCGGACATTTCGCGTAAGCCCATCTAGGTTATATTTTAGCCCCTAGCAAAGAGTTCTATTATCATAGCCAGGGGAACATTCATTCTCATACCTATCAGATAGAATAATTTTATTTTCTTTCAATTTTTTTTGTGAGTCTGTTTGGTGACGAATAGTCTACTGATATATCATAATGACACCTGGTGACATTACTGTCGTATAAAAGTGTCCTCTGATTTACTCATTGTCAATACCGTTCACAAACTAATGACTTAATTGAATGGATCAGCCTCGTCTCCAAACACATTTGGTCATCCTCAACTAATCATAGATCATAAAGTGCAAAACGAATCGCTGTTATATGGCACATGTGTTTTTTCAGCGGTTGCTAATAAAAACATTATGTGTACAATTCGCTCTACGCTGTGTCAGGCGTTCAGCAACCCGTTGATAAATGTAATAGTAATAAAATCATTGGGTTTGTAAGATAAAACGTAAAAGTAGAGAGGTAATCCTTCTATGATCAACCGTGGATAAACTACTGTAGTAAAGTTCACTAGGTTATTCGGTTTCTGCTGGTAGTTGTGAATTATGAACCCATAGAGGGCGCTATGTATATTCGTTTCACCTAAAGATACAAGTTTAATTTTAGATAGATAGCTAACATTACAAATTACAAGTTATTTTATAAATACTTTAAATATATGAGTATTTGTGTACATCAATATGATTTACCGGAATAGTATTGAGAAATTGAATTAAATAATTCTAGAACATAATACATGTTTATTGCAATTGCAATATTTTATCACGACTAGGCCTACCTGAATCCGAACGAAGCTTAGAACGTTTTTGATAAACGAAATTTTTAATTTTTAACGACTTTTAATTTTAAAAGACATCATATCGAAGTGTTTACAATTGTAAATATATCATTTACTAATAATTACTAATTATTTGTAAATAGTGTTGCTGAATTCGTAAAATACTTATGTTAACATTATAATGATTAATTAATATTGCTATAAAATATATAACTATTATTATTAATCATTGTAGAGGGAAATTATTAATTATTATTTATTGATTTTTAAGTTTTTAATACAAAACAAATATACGCTAAATATCGTTTGTTTGTTTCTGTCTGAAAGGGAATGTGTTCCAATATGTACAATGAATGCAAATTGACATAAATAGTGGAAAATAAAAACAATACATATATTATAAATAATAATTAATTGATAACAGATGTTTTTAACATTGAGAATACTATGTCGTGTTGTACGATTCGCCAACTATGCGAACATCACAATTAGTGAACTACTCCCGTGAAAAAAACAAGCTAAAGTCTACAATATATATAGACAAATTATACCAATGCAAATTATAAGCCAATACATATTTTTAAAATTGTTATTTACCATCCATAGAGAATCTCTTATAAGACTATGAACATTGTTATCTTAATGGGAAGTTTTGTGGTTACGTTAATTCTTTGTTATCACATAATACATCAGGATAAACTCGTTTATGACGTCAATCTGTTGGATATGTTGCAATTAATACAAATAAAAACGTAATGAGTACAAATGTACAAATATATTGATCCGGTCTATATAAACTAAAATAAAAAGAAAACACACCTTATTTAAAGTTAGTTTAGCTACTAGGAGGTAAATACCGGTATTGTAAGCATAAGGCAGGGATTTACTATTTGTTTATATAAAAAATCTAGGAATTATAACGTCACTAATGTTAACATTTGGGAATAGTAATGACAACATTCTGAGTAATTAAAAAAATAACTTTTATATTTTTTTGTTATTTTTTATGTTTTTGATGACAAATAAAATATATGTAACAAAAAAAAAGAAAGAAAGAAAGAAATGTCGGTGAATCTCCACTAAAGAGAAAAAACAACTTTTATTTTAAGTTTTATTTGCGAATACAATTTCCGAAGAGTACTAAACATAAAGGAAAAAAACTTAAAGTTAACATGATCACTAAATGTTTATTTTATTTATTAAAATTTTCATTCAACAGCGAGAAACCCGCCACTTATAGTATGGAACTTAACTACTTACAACTACATGTACATGTATGTTTGAATATTTAAGTAATATTTATAAAAAAAATACAGTAGAACGATATATATTAATGTAAATTATTTTCCTTTGTAATTCATAGACACATAAATATTTAGCCTCATTGTTCCTATGTTTGCATAGGTCTTTCCTTTAAATTCCCTTTAAATTCGATGGCAAACAACTTGAATATTGTTGTAGTAAAGGTTTTGTACAGAAAAAAAATAAATAAAAAAAAATAAATAAAAAACTTTTCGATCTATGTTTCGTTGGAAGTGGAAAGGTTACTTAAATCTATTAATTGATATTTTTGAGATTAAACTTTTAAAAGTCTTGTTTTCTACATTTCGTAAGAGAGAATATATCTTCAAGAAAAACAAAGAAATTACATGGTAATAAAATACAATTGATTATATGTATTACTAATTAGATTACGATTTTTTTAATGTTTTCAGTTTCGGATTTTAACGCAAACAATATTTTATTAATTGCTATTTTTAACTCCATAGACCAATGTTATATGTGTGTTCATGAAATTAACATTAATTAATAATTAACTTAAAATTCACTCTGGTAAAAATAGACATCTTAATGTGCGGTACTATAACTATATGCTTTGTTGTTATAATGCATTTCAATGATGTCATCGCTATCTTTACTTATAATAATCTTTCTCACGATCAATATCAATGCCTGTCCATGTTGTGGACTCCGTATTACTCTTGCTTATACAGCGCCCTCAATATTCTAAAATAAGTTTCTTATTAGATAATCCGAGTTTCCTAGAATGGGTTTTAAGGATGTACTGTCTACAGTACGTTCACGGAAATCGTATTGCTTTGGTAGGCTAATTAATATATAAACAAGTAGGAATCGATATTTTGATTGCTCACTTTGTATATTTAAGTAAGTAATTAGATTTCAACCATACTAATAAAATTTCCTACGGTACGGTACACCACTTAGATTGTTCTGAAAAGAAATGTTGTTTTTGCAGAGTCTCAACAATATTAATGTTACCATGCAAACCTTCAAAAGATGTTTTTGTTTCAAATGATATTATAAAGAGAAGATATTATCTTACTACCAAAACGCTTGCTAATAACTCATTTCCACTATCAAGAAAATACATTTTTGTATAGGCCTAACTATTAAAAAAAAGGAATTACTGGA